CGAGTTGCTGGAAACCGTCTCCTCGATGATGCCCAGCTCTACGTCGACCCCGTCGGCCCTCGCATCCACCAGGGCCACGTCGGCGATGGCCTTCTGGTGCGCCTCCTGTGCCTTCTTGGCCTCCGCGGTGGCGGCGGCCAGCAGGTCCTCGAGGACGGTGAGGCGGTCGGCGGCAGCAGCGAGCTCGTCGTGCAGCGCCTGATCCACCTCGGTGCCGTTGCACTGCGCGGTGTGCTGCCAGCTGCCCGGGCCACCAACGCGAACGGCATCTCGAAGTCCCGCCTCGAACGCTTCCCGCACCCTGCGGCGGGCGGCCCAGCAGGCGGCGGAGGCGCCGAGGGCGATGGCCTCGGAGGCGCGCAACTGGCTGGGCAGCCATAGGCCCTGACCGCCCCCCGTCGCCACGACATCCGCCCGGGGAACCATCGTCCGGAAATGGCAATGGCGGAAAGCGGGAAGACACGGCTTGAGCCAAAGTGGCTACGGAGGAGGAGGAGGAGGAGGAGGAGGAGGAGGAGGAGAAAGGAGGCAGAGGAGACGGGGAAGGAGAAGGAGGAGGAGGAGGAGGAGGAGGAGAGAGAAATGAAGCGGAGGAGGATGAGGATGAGGATGAGGATGAGGATGAGGATGATGATGAGGAGGAGGAGGAGGCGAGGAAGGAGGAGGAGGAGGAGGAAGAGGAGAGGAGGAGGAGGAGGAGGAGGAAGAGGAGGAGGAGGAGAGGAAGCGGAGGCGAGGCGGCGGAGGAGGAGGAGGAGGAGGAGGAGGAGGAGGAGGAGGAGGAGGAGGGGGAGGAGGAGGAGGAGAAAGAGGAGGAGGAGGAGGAGGAGAGGAGGAGCAGGAGGAGGAGGGCGAAGCCCAAGCGCCGCCGCGGCAGTCCCCGGGACCGCCCCGCGGGCCCGCCGGCGGCGGCCGAGGGCTCGTCCGGCTGGAAGGTGATGCGGCGCGGCGGGCCCGCCTTGGCGGGTGGCGCACCGCCGCGGCCCGCCGCATGCGGGCGGCCCGGCCGCGGGCGGGCCTGGCGGCGGCAGCGACGCGCCCGCGGCCGAGGCGGCCGAGGCGGCCGGCCACGCCGCCGCTGGGGCGGCGGCCGGCGGCGAACAGCCGGCCCTGAGGAGCGGGGCGCAGATCCCCGGGGAGCCACGTTCGGGTCGGGCGAAAGGGGGGATAGCAAAGGGGGGGTTTGAGAATCAGCTCGCGTAGCTGATTTTCCCGGCGCCTCCCGGCGCCGGAGGCGGCTATGTATCGAGGAATGGGCCCCTCGGTGAGGCCGAAACCAGCTGCATGCAGCAAAGTAACCCCCCCTTTCCCCTTCCCCGCCCGCCCGACACGTTATGGGACAACGTCGCAGAGGAGGGGCCCTCCTGCCTCCCTCCGTGTCCCGCGCTCCCCTCCCTGCGCCCCGCGCTCCTCCCTCCCTGCCTCCGTCCCTCCTCCTATATCCCCCCCCGCCCTGCCTTCCCCCCCCCCCCATCGCTCCTGGCCGGCCCGGGGCACGCGGCGGGCGCGGCGGGACCCGGCCGCAGCGCGGGCTCTCGAGCCGCCAGCTCCGCGACCACTGGCGGCGGCGCCGCCGCCGCGTCGGCGCCCGCGGCGGCCGCCGCGGCGGCAGGCTCGACGGCGCCAGTGGCGCCGCCGCCCGGCTGCTTGAGGGAGGTGACCTTTTTGGAGTCACGACGCGGTGCGGTGACGGACCGTACGGTGACCTCGAAATCCCCCAAGACCTCACCGCACGGTCCGTCAACGCACGGTTTGGGACCCGGAGGCCCCCGTCGCCCGAGACGTCCTCGGAGAACGACCCGAGTCCCAAAACCGTGCGGTGACCCCGAATCCCCACCCACTCACCAGACTGTGTGGTCACCACCCCGTTTGGGGGCCCCCGAACCTCTGGGGAAAAAACCGATGCCGCTGCCCCCCGGACCTCTCCTGGGGTGCGCTATGACCCCGGATTTCGAAGCGAATCCGGCGGTGGCGACGAGGGCCAAACCCGGAGGCCCTCCAAACGGGGAAAAACGGGCGCGGCGCTCTGCCGGTGCGTGCCCGTGGGCGCGCTCGCTTTTGCGGGCCCGCTCCGGCTTCCCTCCGCTCACGCAGACCGCGCCAGGGTGAGTGCCCCTCCTCCCTCCTCCTCGCTCCTCCTCCTCCCTCCTCCTCCTCCCTCCTCCTCCCTCCTCCTCCTCCCTCCTCCTCCGAACCTCGTCGACGCTGAGCAGGGCCACCAGTGCCCCGATGCGGCGGTGGAGCTCGGACACCTCGCGGTCGTGCGCCTCGCCCAGCTGGCACAGGAGCCCGTGGAAGCCGCCGCCCGGCGGCGGAGGGCCCTCCCCGGGCGCCATGTGTGGGGCCGCCTGCAGGGCGTGCGGCCTGGAGCCGGCCGCGCCGCTCGGGAGAGCCGCGGGGAGTGCTCGAGCCAGGAGGAACGGCCCGAGCCAAGGGAGGCCTTTTAGACGGGGTCGGAGCAGATGTGGCCGGAGGATCGCGCCGCATCGCCGATGCATCGCCAATGCATCGCCGATGCATCGGCAACGTCGGTGATGCACCGGCGACGGCGGCGAGCCGCATCGACGATGCATCGGCGAAGCGGCGCGATCCTCCGACCCCATCTCCTCCGACCCCATCTGGGAGGCCCAGAGAGCAGGAGCGGGCCGAGCCAAACTCCCCAGACCCCCACCCCGGCATGGCAAACATCTCGGCGGACATCCTTCTGTACTTCCCGGCCCGTGGAGGGGGGCCCTCGCCGGGCCGCGAGGCCGCAGCGAGACGTCTCGCGAGGTGCCAGCTCTCGGAACTCGGACGTGCGACGCCCTGAATTTTTCCGCACGGGGGCACTGGAAGTCCCGACCCTCTCCCCAGGACCCGCTTTTATCCTGAATCGTTTTTGACGATCCCGGGGCCCGGCGAGGGCTCCCAGGGGCCGAAAAAAGCTCAACACCTCCCGTCCTGATTTTTTAACGACGCGATCATGTCTGGAAGGTGGTCCAGACATCTGGGTGTCTGCGGCATGGTAAACATCACGATGTCGGGGGCCTAGCACGTAGCGACGGAGGCCAAAACATTTAGGGTGCCCGAAATATCCGGAGTAACTCGGGCCCAGGGTAACGCGGGTCTGGATTCCCGAAAAAAGAACCAGAGTTAGCCCTGACCCGAGTTACATCTGATGATTCAGGGCTCGGGACGCCCGAACTATCCAGGGTAACTCGGGCCTGGGGTAATTCGGGCTAGGATTTTCCGAAGAACGAACCCGAGCTAGCCCTGACCCGAGCTACCCCTGATGGTTCAGGGCTCTGGACGCCCGAACTATCCTGAGTAGCTCGGGCACGGGGCAATTCGGGCTCGGACTTTCCCCAAAACGAACTCGAGTTAGCCCTGACGATTCGGGGCTCTGAGATTTGGTGATCGGCGTCTCTCGAGGCCTCGAACGATGGGCAACACTCAGGGGCCCAAGGACACACAAATACATACACACAAATAACAGGATTCCCCTATATTTTCCAATATTTTCTGGGGCTTTTGTCCTCCCCCCACTTCCCATATCTTCCCATATTTTACTGGGAGTCGACGACTAATTGTGTCTGTGTGTTTTTTCCTCCTGAAAAAAACACGACGCAAACCTATTCGTTCGCAGATCCGCGCATATCGGCGTCTCTCTGGGTAGTCGAAGCCAATCTGGCAGGCCCAAATCTGGCAAACGGGGGCAATCTGGCGAGGGAGCCAACGCGAATCCGATCTGGCGAACAACCCAAATCCTCCAATTCGGCCAAGCCAGATTGGCCCCTGGGGCCCAATCCAATCTGCCAGTCTGGCCTTCGACTACCCAGTGTCCCTCGAGGCCTCGGGCCAAGGGCAAAGCACGACGCAAGCAACAGGATCCCCCATATTTTCCCATATGTTTGGGGGCTTCTGTCTCCCCCCCCCCGCTTCCTATATTTTCCCATGCTTTCCTGGAAATCGACGGCTGCTTGTGTCTGTGTTTTTTCCCCTCCTGAGTCTCTCGAGGCCTCGAGCCAGGGGCACAGCACGACGCGCACCCGTTCGTCCGCAGCTCCGCGCAGGCTGCTCGTGCCAGCCCTGGGCCCCCCTGCCCCTGGCGCGCGGAGGCGGCGCCGGGGGCGGCGCCACGGGGGGTGGGGCCCAGCGACGACCCCAGACGTCTACGCTTAGGTCGGGCCTGTCCCCCTACAGCGGGGATTTTCGACGAGAGATAAAACATACGCAAAAAATGCTCCAAACTGGTCAAACAATACAGCGGGGATTTCAAACAATACGCAGCAAAATGCTCCAAAGATGCCCAACAAATACTCAGAAAGTGGTCCCCAGACTATGTTTTGACTACTTTTGAATATCCCCCCTGTAGAGGGACAGGCCCGACTTGAGTCTACGCGACCCTTCGAGAGTTCGTGATCGTGCCTGGTACCCTTCCCCGAGCCACCCCTGACCGAGCAGCACGGCGAGCGACGACGACGACGACGACGTCGACGCCGACGCTAACGCCGACGCCGGCGCTAACGCCGACGCTGGCGCCGACGCCGGCGCCGACGCCGGCGCCGACGCCGGCGACGGCGACGGCGACGGCGACGACGACGACGGCGCCGCCGACGCCGCCGCCGACGACGACGACGACCACGGCGGCGGCGGCGGCGGAGGCCGCGCGGCGGCGGAGGGCGGTCCTCGGGCGCCCCCCCCTCCCGCGCGCCGCCGAGCGGAGGCCGGGCCCCCCCCCGGAGGTCCTGCACGGGCTGCTCGCCGCGGTCTGGGTGGGAGAACTCGTAGAGCAGCATGTTGATCGAGGCGAACTCCTGCAGAGGGGGCCGAATCAGTAGGCACAAATCCCAGGATTCCCTGTATATATATGTATATATCTATATGTATATATCTATACGTATATATAAATTTTCTTATGTGTGTGTATTTATGTTATATGTATATATATATATGGATATTTGCTCATGTTTTCGTCTTTCCCCCCACTTCCCATGCTTTCTCATTCGACGTTTGGACATTGGACCTATGCTGAGCGGGACTGTTTGCAGCAGGGTGCCCTATGGAGGGGACCCCCCCTGCTCGGAGCAGGCGCCAAAAACAGCCAAGATCTACTCCAGGGGGGGGAGGGGGCGCGAGTGCCCGCGCCGATCGGCAAAACAATGAATGAGAAAACGATCACAAAGGGGCCCAAGGAAGCACACACACACAAATAGTCGCACATCCTTGGCTTCTTGGCACCTGCAAACATTCTCTCGATGTTTTCGTCTTCCCCCCCTCCCGCGTCCCAGATTTCCCCATATCTTCCTCGGAGTCGGCGATTCTTCGTCGTCTCTGTGTGCTTCCTGTCCTCCCAACTCCTGGCCCGTGCTCCCCGCCCCTGAGATCCTGGCGCCCAACTCTCGTCGAGCCTGGGGGCGTTTCGGGCCTTTCGCTCCGCTTCTGCGGCCCAGAGCCCTCGCGGGCGGATCGGGCCCGAAACATGGTGCAGAAGGATGGGCTCTGGGGCTCCGGTCGCGATGTTTCGTGATGTTGTATGTTTTTTCGATGGAGGCGAACTCCTGGCGCCGTGCTTCCCCTTGGGCTGCCTACCAGACCAGCCCGACCCAGCCCGAGGACCCAAATTTCGGGTTGGGGGGGCACGGGTTCCACATGTACTTTTGCAAGGTTCCCCGACCCCCCCCCCGCGCGCCACTGGGAATGGAAGGCAAGTTGGGGCCTTCGGGTTGGGTTGGGGTGGTTTGGGGGGTCCCGCACGCGCCCGCGAAGGCTCTGGGCACCAGATCTGAAGGATGATGAGGAGGAGGAGGAGGAGGAGGAGGACGAGGAGGAGGAGGAGGAGGAGGAGGAGGAGGAGGAGGAGGAGGAGGAGGAGGAGGAGACCAGACACGCGGCCGCAAGGAAGCAGAAAACAACGAAAGAACATGACCGCGGCGCCACAAAACCCGGGCGGGCGGAAACTCCGTGCAAACACAACCGTTTCAGCACATTCCGCCGTGATCTTCTCGTGGCCCCAAGGGGGTCTGGCGCCCCCCCCCCCCCCCTCGGGCGCTGCTTACTGGGGGAGCGACGTATGGGGGGGAGCATCCTTCGTGCTCCTTCTGGGCCCCTAGGGGGCCACTGAAGGTGCACGAAAGGTGCACCTCTCTGAGCTGCACAGTTCTCGTTTTGGGAGGAATGGGTTGGGAGGAGGAGGAGGAGGCGGAGGAGGAGGAGGAGGCGGAGGGGGAGGAGGAGGAGGAGGACGAGGAGGCGGAGCAGGAGGAGGAGGAAGAGCTCCCCATTTGCCCGTCTCTCCCGTCCTACATCTGGTAGTGGTGGTGGGATATGAGCCAATGAGTCTGTTCTCTTTTCTTTCTTTTTTTTGGGGGGGGGGGGCGGGCGACATCCTCATGAAGGGAACGAGCAATAGCATCCGAATGCAATGAACGATACCATCGCCCCATCCTCCCAACCCGATATTTGTCTTCCCGACTTTCTTCACTCCCCCATGAAGCCAAGATCTTCAGATCCTGGCGGACTTCGGGTCCTAACTCGGGCCTCCGGCGGCCGCTCGGGAGGAGCAGGGCATCCCCGGAACGCCCTCGGTGAGGCGCAGCTGCTGGAAGGCCCCCCCGAGGCCGGCAAGCTGCCGAGAACCGACGAAAACGCAGGAACGCCTCGAAGTTTGAGCTTGAGCCCCTGCCGAGCGCGAGGGGACCCCCCTCACGCAGCGCCCTCCGCCCTCTCCCAGAGCCGCCCGCCGGCCTGCTGCCCCGCCCCACCCCCGCGCCGCGGGCCCCTCCAGGTGGCCCACCACGACCAGGTGGCGCACCCAGCGCGAGCTCGGCTGGCGGCCAGGGGGGGTCATCTCGGCCGTCGTCGTCGTCGTCGTCGTCGTCGTCGTCGTCGTCGTTTCATCGTCGTCGTCGTCGTCGTCGTTTCATCGTCGTCGTCGTTTCATCGGCGTCGGCGTCGTCGTCGCCGTCGTTTCATCGTCGTCGTCGTCGTTTCATCGCCGTCGTCGTTTCATCGCCGTCGTCGTCGTCGTCGTCGGCGGCGGCGGCGGCGTCGGCGTCAGCGTTGGCGTCGCGTCGGCGTCGGCGCCGTCGTCGGCGTCGACGTCGGCGTCGGCGTCGGCGTCGGCGTCGTCGGCGTCGGCGTCGACGTCGGCGTCGGCGTCGGCGTCGGCGTCGGCGTCGGCGTCGGCGTTGTCGCCGCCGCCGCCGCTGCCGTCGCCGCCGCCGCCGCTGCCGTCGCCGCCGCCGCCGCCGCCGGCGTAGTCGGCGTCGTCGTCGGCGTCGTCGTCGTCGTCGGCGTCGTCGCCGTCGTCGTGGTCGTGGTCGTGGTCGTCGTCCTGCGCCTCCTCCTCTTCTCTCTCCTCTCCGTCCTCTTCAACCTTCCTCGTCTTCCTCCACGTCCTCCTCCTCCACCTCCTTCCCCTTCCTCCTCATCTGCCTCAATCCACTGCTCCTGCTTCTCCTTCCCCTGCTTCTCCTCCTAACCCTGCGCCTCTACATCCCCCTGCCCACCTCCACCTCTATCTGCTCTTGATCCTGCTGCTGCTTCTCCGTTTTCTCCAATGGCCCCCCATACCCGACAGGGAACGGAAACAAGCAGTGCGGAGGTCAAAGTGAAAGTATCGCCGTACAGTCGCTACCGAAGCTCATGGACATCCGAAAGGAAGCACATCTCTTTCCGACAGCGTGGCACGAGCAAGCCAGCAGAAGACACATGATACAACCAGCCAGATATTGAGAGGGCAAACGGATACTCTTGATTCTGAAAAACATCGACCTCTTCATCGGTCACGGCAACAGCGGACCATACAGATCCGACTAAAACGGAGAAAGGCGCGAGAGATCAGAAGGGACTGAGGAAGGGAGGGACGAAACCGTGCACGCGGAAAATCGACTCGGGTGAACTGGCACGACGGCACTTCGAGGTGCATCACAGCTCAAGCCGAAGCCCCAAACTGAGCTGCACAGAAATCCGCCGATGTGGCGTGTGAGTTTCACCGAATCTACGCTGCAACCTGAGCTTCAGCACTGCGGCCGAGCCGGGACCGAGGCCAGGGTTAGGCCGGGCCTGTCCCCCTACGGGGGGATTTTCGACGAAAAATTAAAAATACCCCCAAAATAATCAAAACATAATCTAAAAATAGTCTGGGGACTATTTTTAAATATTTTTTGACCTTCTTGGGGCATTTTTGGGGTATCTTTTACTTTTCTTCGAAAGCCCTCCTGCATGGGGGACACGCCCGACATAAGGCCCGGGCCGGGAGCCTGGGCTGGGGCCGGCCGGTGCCCCACAGCCGCGGCAGGGGCCGAGGCCGGGGCCGGGGCCGGCTCTGAGGCTCAACCACCCGGGGCTCCCAAGCTCAGCCGCCCACCAACAAGGCAGCCCTTCTCTCCCTCCGCCTCCCTCCTCTTCCGCCCTCCTGCCTCCTCTTCCTCCTTCCTACCTCCTCCCTCCTGCCTCCTGCTTCCTCCCTCCTGCCTCCCTCCTCCCTCCTGCCTCCCTCCTCCTCCCTCCCTCTTCCTCCCTCCTGCCTCCTCTTCCTCCTCCTGCCTCCTCCCTCCTTCCTCCCTCCTGCCTCCTCTTTCTCCCTCCTGCCTTCATGATTATGAAAGAGGACAACGAGTTCGCACCCGGAGCGTCCCGGATCGGCGGCACAGGCCGAAGGCCTCTGCAGTGGGAAAGGCGCAACTGGCAGGATCGAGTCAACAGCACCTCGTCGAGCGTTGCGCTCGATGTCGGGTCTGAAGGGGGGAAGGAAAACACCAGAGGAAGGATACGTGATGGGAGAGCAGGCGGCAACGGTGAGGGGCAGGAGGAGAGGCAAGGAATGTAGAGGAGAGGCGAGCAGAATAAGGGCACTCAGCTCCCAACCTCCGCCCAGCAACCTCGAGACTCAGACACCAACGCCGCTGGTGGCGATCATGGCGACGATGCGCTGATGGGCGCTGTACCAGGTGCGCCGAACTGGGACTCATTGGCACAGCGGGCTCTGGGCATGTGTGCTGGCTTGAGCAGGGACCGACCGTCCCGGCATTCTTATAGGCCTACCACGACATGTTCGTAGAACCCAACAATGTTCTAAGAACAAAAACCATGTTCTTATAACATAAACCCGATGTGATAACACAGGACAGTCTTAGCCAGAAATGTTCTGAGAACGTTTCGAGCAGACCACAACATGTTCTTAGAACATGCTTTGGCGGGCTCATAGGGAAGCCATGACGCTTCGCCACTGCTTGACTGGCATGCCTCCCAGCATGCACTCCTGCGTGTCCAGACGCCCCGCCGACCACGCCTCCGGAAGGCCGCCCGCAAGGCAGGCGGCGGACGCAGATCGGATTGCGCCTCGTCGGAGAGAGAGTCCACCTGCCAGTGGAAAGAAACACAGGTGAAAGAGGATTTACTACCTGCCGGACCACCTAAACCCAACCCGAAGACCCGAACTTCGGGGTGGGGGGGGAAGGGTACGGGTTTCATCGATGATTTTCAACGTTCCCGGACGCCCCTCCTCCTATCTTGAGATCCGGCAGCGCGAAAACATTGCAACATCGTGAAAACCGCGACCAAAGCCCCAGACCTCATCTTTCTGCGCCATTTTTCGAGCCGGATCGATCTGTGAGGATACCGGGACCCGAAATCGAGCGACAACGCCGGGCTCGAAAACATGGAGACGCCAGGATCTCACAGATTGGAGCCTTCGGGTTGGATTGGGGTGGTCGGGTGGGCGGTGAAGGATGGCCCGTGCTGCCCTGTGCCGCAGCAGCCTGCTGAGGCATGGCTCAATCTGGAACGATCGGCCGCTTCCGGCACGTCGACCGATTCGGGGCCACTGCGCCAGGTTGCCCTCGTCCTGAACGAGACGCTACGGACTTGAGCCAACATGGCTACGGAGGAGGAGGAGGAGGAGGAGGAGGAGGAGGAGGAGGAGGAGGAGGACCGCCACCGGCGCTCAACGTTGACCGCCCGCGGCAGGGTCGTCGCTGGTCACCCTGACGCGAACCTGCTGTGAGCCACTGGCCGATGGAACTGAGGAGCGGAGCGGCACGGGGCGGGGCTCGCGGAGCCCGCGGAGCTCGCCGGGCCGGCCGGCCGATGCTTCTAAGAAGCCTCCCCCCCCCCTCCCCCCGCGCCCCCCTCTGCGCGCGGCTGGACGGGGGAGCAGGTGGGCGCCTGGTGCAATCCAGGCCGCCCCGCTGGGCCCCCCTCGGCCGGCCGAGGTTTCTAAGAAGCCTCCCCCTCCCCCCCTCCCCCCTCCCCCCCGCGCCCCCCCTCTGCGCGCGGCTGGCCGAGGGAGCAGGTGGGCGCCTGGTGCAATCCAGACCGCCCCGCTGGGCCCCCCTCGGCCGTCACAGCCAGCGCGCCCGCGGCCCGAGGGGCCGCGCGTGCAGCTCCAGGGCCCCGAGGGAGCTGGGCCACAATTGGGTCGGGCGAAAGGGGGGGACAGCAAAGGGGGGGTTTTGAGAATCAGCTCACGCAGCTGATTTTCCAGGCGCCTCCCGGCGCCGGAGGCGGCGATGTATCGAGGAATGGGCCCCTCGGTGGGGCCGAAACCAGCGGCATGCAGCAGATTTTGTAACCCCCCCTTTCCCAATCCCCCCCTTTCGTCTGGCCCGACACAAGACGAAGGGGGCGAGGCTGCCGCCGTCGTGCTACCACAACTAGGGCGCCAACTCCAGGAGCCCAAGGGGCTGCCCAGGCCACGGCGAGCCTCGGCCACGTGCAGGCTCCAAGAACGGCCCTCGCGGTGTGGGCGCTCACGGGCTCTGCGGAGGCGTCGGAGCCCGCGGCTAAAGGTGGTGCAGCAGGCGGGCCTGGCGAGCGCGGCCGCTGTCCACGCCAGGGGGGCGCCTCCGCCGACGCAGCGTTGCGTGGCTCGCGCGCCGGGAGGAGGAAGGCAGGAGGAGGAGGAGGAGGAGGAGGAGGAGGAGGAGGAGGAGGAGGAGGAGGAGGAGGAGGAGGAAAAAGAGGAGGAGGAGGAGGAGGAGGAGGGGAGGAGGAGGAGGAGGAGGAGGAGGAGGAGGAGGAGATGGAGGAGGATATGGAGGAGGACATGGAGGAGGACATGGAGGAGGATATGGAGGATATTGAGGAGGAGCGGCGCAGCTCCTGGATGCCGACGAGAGCGCCTGCTGGTGCGCCGCGGGGGCTTCCCGAGGCCCGCCGGGGGCTCTGCGGGCCTGCCGGCGCCACCAGGCAGCCGTGGCGTCGTGGGCCGCGGGGCCATCCTCTTGGAGGACTCCCCCTCGGGCGGGTGGCAATAGCCCTCCTCCTCCTCCTCCTCCTCCTCCTCCTCTTTTTCCTCCTCCTCCTCCTCTTTTTCCTCCTCCTCCTCCTCCTCGTTCTCCTGCTCCTCCTCCTTCTCCTCACTCCTCCTCCTCCTCCTCCTCCTCCTCCTCCTCCTCCTCCTCTTCCTCCTCCCCCTTCTCCGTCTCCCACCATCCCCCGGCGAGGCCGCCTGAGCGCAATCCCTGCGCGCGGCGCGCCCTCGGGAGGGTTGTATTGGGAGGTGGCCCACATGGGGAGCTCAGAGAAGGGCCCTCAAGGGGCTCTTGAGGGCCCCACTTGGGCCCCTGCTGGCCCCCGAAAAGGGGCTCTATAAAGTGCCCCTTGAGGGTCCTGTTCTTCACCCCCAATCTAGGTCACCCACCTATGCCACCCGCCCGGCCCCCTCTCTCCTGGACAGCGTGGCCTGGCGCCCGCTGACCCAGAGCAGCGCGGGGCGGAGAGCGAGGGGGGGGGGGGTTAGCGCCGCAGAAAGCAAGGGAGAAGCAGGGTGGAGTGGGACGAGCGTGACGGCGCGACGACGACGACGACGACGTCGACGACGGCTCGGGGCATACCGCAGCGCCCGCGCGCGCGCCTCGTACTCTGTGCGCTGCGCCTTGCTGGTCTGCTGCAGGGTGCTCCAGACCTCCGCTGGGGAGGGGGAGCGAAGAGAGGAGGCGCGAGGAGGAAGAGACGGTGGAGGGAGAGGGGAGGGAGAGGGGAGGAAGAGGACCCTGCTTTGCTCTCCAGTGCGACTAGCCCCCCACAAGCAGCTGCCACCTTCAGGATGAATCTCCTAAGTGCGCTGGCCATCCGATGCCATACATGTGCACACGTTAGAGATACTAATCAGCGAGAAGCCGCAAACGATTAGCGTTACAGAGCAAGCACGAGGAACGACGAAAGGCATGAAACGGAGAATAAGGCGGAGAAGCGGCAGGCGACGCACGCAATACGGATACACATAAAACGACTGCCAGCGTGAGGCCAACACAGGCTCTTATAGCCCCGATGTGGAACCTGTGCAGTCCAGCCTACTTGGTAATGCTGAGCACCAGGCACCCGCCATAGGCCATCAGACACAGGAGGAAAAGGATGCGGAGGAGGCGGATGAGGAGGAGGCAGAGGCGGAGGCGGAGGAGGAGGAGGAGGAGGAGGAGGAGGAGGAGGAGGAGGAGAAAGGGGAGGAGGCGGAGGCAGACGAGGAGGAGGGGGAGAAGGAGGATGAGTAGGGCTCTTATGGACTCTTTGATAAGCACATCGTGCCGAGGAAGAGGGCAAGAAAGGGGAGGGAAAACGAGACAGATAAGTAAGAGGAGGAATGGGAAGAGGAGGATGATGATGATGATGAGGAGGAGGAGGAGGCGGAAGAGGAGGATGATGATGAGGAGGAGGAGCAGGAGGAGGAGCAGGAGGAGACGGAGGAGGAGGCGGAGGCGGAGGAGGGAGGAGGATGAGGAGGAAGATGCTGCTGCTGCTGCTGATGATGATGATGATGGTGATGGTGATGTTGATGATGATGATGATGATGATGATGATGATGATGATGATGATGATGATGATGGCGATGGCGATGGCGATGATGATAATGATGCTGATGATGATGAGGATGATGCTGATGCTGATGGTAATGATGCTGATGCTGATGATGCTGATGCTGCTGCTGATGATGACGATGGTGATGATGACGATGACGATGACGATGATGATGATGATGATGATGATGATGATGATGATGATGATGATGATGACGATGATAATGATGATGATGATGATGAGGAGGAGGAGGAGGAGGAGGAGGAGGAAGAGGATGACACCAGGGCGGCAACCAGACACCACGACTACCAGATGGCACGGATGAGCTGGGGACACCAACGGGTGCCAGCCATCGGGCGCCGAGGGTGGCCACCAGACCTCGCGCGCAAAACCTTACGTACACGCAAGGCACCGGTGGCTGGGGCACCGCAGAGCACCAGCCGTAGAGCGCCAGGGCGGCAACCAAACATCGCGAGAGTAGATCTTAACCGTGAGGAGCGTTGCGCTTAACCGTGAATGATTGAGTGCACGCTGTGAGTGCACGCTGTGAGTGCACGCTGTGAGTGCACGCTGTGTGTGCACGCTGTGAGCCCACGCTGTGCGTGCCCGCCGTGGTGAGCCCACGCTGTGAGTGCACGCTGCGAGTGCACGCTGTGAGTGCACGCGCGGGCTCACCACGGCGGGCACGCACAGCAGCGTGGGCCAACCACGCTGTGAGTGCACGCTGTGAGTGCACGCTGTTGTGAGCGCGCCCACAGCGTGCACGCACAGCGTGCGCGCACAGCGTGCACTCACAGCGTGCACTCACGTGCACTCACAGCGTGAACTCAGAGCGTGCACTCACAGCGTGCACTCACAGCGTGCGCTCATGGAGGGCACTCACAGCGTGCAGTCGCCATGTGCACGAACAACGTGCTCTCGCAGCGTGCACTCACAGCGTGCACTCACCACAGCATGGGCTCACCGCGGCGGGCACGCGCAGCAGCGTAGGCCGAGTGAGTGCACGCTGTGAGTGCACGCTGTGAGTGCACGCTGTGAGGGCACGCTGTGAGCGCACGCTGTGAGCGCACGCTGTGAGCGCACGCTGTGAGCGCACGCTGCGCGCCACCCGGTGAGAAAGACTGCGATCTCACGCTGTGAGTGCACGCTATGGGGCCGGCGGAATTTCGAATGCCTTGCGCGCTGGATTTTTCCGCGCAGTCGATTTCCTCTGTGGTGTGTGTGTGTGTGTGTGTGCGTGCGTTTGTGTGCGTGGTGGCGTTGCGCGTGGCGTCAACCCACCACACGCCACACGCCACACACCACACACATACACACTTCACGCAACACACCACACGCAAAACACAACATGGCACACACACCTCACGCAATGCACCACACGCAACACACGACACACAACACAACACACGCCACACGCCACACGCCACACGCCACACGCCACACACCACACACCATACACAACACACCGCCCACCGCACACCGAGCGCCGCACTCCGCACAGCACCCGACACACACGCACACACACACACGCACGCACACACACACACACACCCCACCACCCCACCACCACAACCACCACTGCCAATGATACCGCCACCACCAACGCCACCACCACCACAATCACAGCCACCACCACTCCCACCACCGCCACCACACGCAAACGCACACACCCACACACACACAAACCAGAGGAAATCGACCGCGCGAGGAAATCCAACGCGTAGGCAATTCGAAATTCCGTCGGGCCCACAGCGTGCACTCACAACGTGAGCTCACGGTCTTTCTCACCGGGTGGCGCGCAGCGTGCGCTCTCAGCGTGCGCTCACAGCGTGCACTCACAGCGTGCACTCGCAGCGTGCACTCACAGCGTACACTCACAGCTTGCACTCACAGCGTGCACTCACAGCGTGCACTCACAGCGCGCACTCGCAGCGTGCACTCACAGCGTGCACTCACAGCGTGCACTCACAGCGTGCACTCACAGCGTGCACTCACAGCGCGCACTCACAGCGTGCACTCACAGCGTGCACTCACCACAGCGTGCATTCACAGCGTGCACTCACCACAGCGTGCACTCACAGCGTGCACTCACCACAGTGGGCTCACAGCGTGGACTCTCAGCGTGGGCTCACAGCGTGGGCTCACAGCGTGGGCCCACAGCGTGGGCTCACAGCGTGGGCTCACCAAAGCGTGCACTCACAGCGTGGGCTCACAGCGCGGGCTCCTCAAAGCGTGCACTCACAGCGTGGGCTCACAGCGTGGGCTCACAGCGTGGGCTCACAGCGTGGGCTCACAGCGTGGGCCCACAGCGTGGGCTCACAGCGTGCCCTCACCACAGCGTGCCCTCACCACAGCGTGGGCTCACCACAGCGTGGGCTCACCACAGCGTGGGCTCACCACAGCGTGGGCTCACCACAGCGTGGGCTCACCACAGCGTGGGCTCACCACAGCGTGGGCTCACCACAGCGTGGGCTCACCAAAGCGTGCACTCACATCCTGGGCTCACAGCGTGGGCTCACCAAAGCGTGCACTCACAGCGTCGGCTCATCACAGCGTGGGCTCACCACAGCGTGGGCTCACAGCGTGGGCTCGCAGCGTGTGCTCAGAGCGTGCACTCAATCACTCACGGTTAAGCGAACATCCAATCACGGTTCAGCGAAAAGCTACTCACGGTTTGGATTACCCGTCGACATCGCAGCACCCAGGCACAGCTCTTGTCGAGGCCACCGAGAATCCCTGTGCAGCCACTAGATGGGGAATCGTTACCCATCGGTATAGAGGAGGGAGGTGGTATCACGTAGGAAGCCGTTGGAAGCGTAGTGGATCTCCGCTCGACAACTCCGCTCGACAACGTGAAGAGGAGGGAAGAAGGGATACTGCTCAATCCTGGCAGTAGACAGGCGCGTAAATTGTATTGGAACCAGGGAATCCAAGAACACCTGCTTTCAACGAACAGTCGGTGTTCCAAGAAACAGTCAGAGCAGAATCTCATGCAGAGACTGACAAAGCAGGTAGGGAGGGGGCGACTGCAGAGATGACCCCCGATGCGATGGATTCGGGGGGTCCCCCTGTGGGCCCACACCAGTGGCCACTCTGGCGATCCCCATCCCCCATCCCTCCTCCTCCACCTCCTCGATCCCCCATCCCCCATTCACCTCGTCCTCCTCCTCCTCCATCCTCTATCCCTCCTCCATCCCTCCTCCTCCACCTCCTCCTCCTCCTCCTCCTCCTCCTCCTCTTCGTTCTCCTCCTCATCCTCCTCCTCCGCCCGCTCCTCCTCCTCCTCCTCCAGCTCCATCTCCTCATTATCCGTCCACCTCCTCCTCCCTTCTTTTTCTTCCTCCCTCATCTTCCCTCCTGCCGCCTCCCTCTTCCCGCCTCGCCCTCATCAACCGCCTCCATCTCTGCCTCCGTCTCCGCCTCAGCCTCCCGCGTCCACCTCCGACCCGGCCCCCTCCTCCTGCAGCCGAGGAGCCTCTGTGTGCACCCTCCTCCATATTTACATATATACATATACACATAAGTCTCTCGGAGAAGCCCCCCCGCTCCGTGAGCCACCCTTGGACCTTCGCGAGCTGGGTCGGGATGAGGAAGCACGCGAGGCAGACGAGGACGATAAGCATCAGAAACACCGGCTCCTTCTCCGTCACTATGCGCGGCCGCCCCAGGGTGGAGATCGTGCACCAGTAGACGGCCCTGCATGGGGCCGAGCGTCGCTTTGACCGATCCCCACCCCCACTGGCATGGTCTTGGTCCCGCCGCCGGCCGATCTACCCCCCATAGACTGCGGCATGGGCTCCTCCCCTCGGGATTCGTGGGGCGCATCCCCGGTTGGGGGGATAATCGAACAGGAATGGGGGTGGGGCCAAAGCCGCGCAAAATCGGTACACGGACCCCTCCCGGGGTCCATCTGGCGCAATTTTTCACCCGGGATTCACACGCCCCCTGGAGGCAGAAACAATCCCCCGGGGGGGGGCGAGGATGGCGAGGAGGAGGAGGAGGAGGAGGAGGAGGAGGAGGAGGAGGAGGAGGAGGAGGAGGAGGAGGAGGAGGAGGAGGGAGGAGGAGGAGGAGGGAGGAGGAGGAGGAGGAGGAGGGAGGAGGAGCAGGAGGAGGAGGGAGGAGGAGCAGGAGGAGGATAGACTGCGCTCGCCCTTCATTGCCATCAACTCAGCAGAAGGAGAAGGAGGAGGAGGAGGAGGAGGAGGAGGAGGAGGAGGAGGAGGAGGAGGAGGAGGAGGAGGAGGAGGAGGAGGGGGAGGAGGGAGGAGGGGGAGGGGGAGGAGGAGGAGGGGAGGAGGAGGAGGAGGAGGGGGCGGCAGAGGAAGCGGGCCGAGGAGGAGCGGCAGCCGCACGGGAGCTGGGCCGGTGGGTGCCGCGCCGATCCGAGGCACGTCCGCGCGGAGCTCGGGCGCCCCGCACGCGCATGGAGTTTTTTTTCTCGTCGAGGCGAGGGGGCGGGGCGGCAGCGGCGAGACGAGGGGTCGAGAGGCGGGCTCGGAGAATGCCCAGGGCAAGAGCCCGGATCTCCGGCGACTTTCGGCGGCGAGCGACGGGGGGGAAGTGAGAAGGGGAGGAGGAGGAGGAGGAGGAGGAGGAGGAGGAGGAGGAGGAGGAGGAGGAGGAGGAGGAGGAGGAGGAGGAGGAGAGGAGGAGGGGAGGGGGAGGGGGAGGAGGAGGCCTTCTCAGCAGGCGGCGTGACTTCAAAGAAGCCCTCGCGCCTTCCTGAGACGTTCTCTGTGTCTTCGGGGCAGGCGTGGGCAACTTCTCAGAAGGCCGAGGGACTCCCGAGCCTTCTGAGAAGGCCCGCCCCTTCTCACTTCCCCCCCTCGCTCGCCGCCGAGATTTCTTGCTGTTGTCAACCCGAGCGCTTTTCCTCGATTTCGGCCTCGGGGACTCGTTTGCGGGCCACCTCGGACGATCAAGCAAGGATCTGGGACCGTAAACTGGGTCCAGAGGGGGGTCGGAACCTCTGGGGCAACGGATTGAACAAATCATGCTGGAGGGCTCACACTGGTTGCGTCATATTTGCAGGCTGACGCGCTGCAGAGCAAACTCATCTGGCAACCAACCCGCTGTATGCATTCGCGCAGACACATGAGCTTGAGTCCGAATAACATCAGTATGGCGAGCACCAGCGATATGCAACAATCTGAATTTGATAAGACAATGTGCGTCGTGGTGCAGCCAATAGCTGCGAAACATAAACGAAGTGGTCCTGTGGAAATGTACGCAACCAAGGTCGTTGTACTCGTCTACCAGCACAGTGAAAACAAAGCTCGTGTCATAACACTCCTCCAAAACGTTGCGGCGAAAAACAAGAGTCGAACGGTCTGCATGCGCAACTGCACTCACGGACACGGTTGGCGAACTGCACACGTTTCCCTCCGACGCGCTGGTGACAGCAGCTCGCGGGTAAGCGACGCAAAGGCGGTACGCACGCTGAGCAAGATTACCACCTCGATCTTTCCACGAGAACAAAACGAGCTCCGCACAACCTCTAGGTGACGCCGCTGAGCCAGAAACGTGAGACCCGGATATGGGGTGTTCCCCAGACGAACTGCGAGTGCTGGACGACTTGTGCACACAATGTACCGCCTTGTGTGGCAACGCGATCAGAGCTGGCAATCTTGGCACAGGCCACCCTTGAGCAGGAACCGACCGTCCCGGCATTCCTATAGGCCTACCACAACATATTCCTGGCACCCACAACAGTTCGAATAACAAAACAAAGTTCTTAGAACATAAACCCGATGTGTTAAACCAAGACAGCCCCGGCCAGAACTGTTCTAAGAACATGTCGTGCAGACCACAAGCAATTCTTAGAACATTCTTGGGTACACCTATAGGCGAGCTGGGGCGCTTCGCCACTGACTGAACCATGCACCACCTCGGGTGGCAACGCGATCAGAGCTGGCAGACTTGGCACAGGCCGCCCAACGCACCCTTCTTGGGGCGCACGCGGGCGCGGCGACGGCGCCACACGGCCGCTCCAGACACCCGCACGCCTGGCGCCGCGGGCTACCACGCGAAGCTGCGCCCGCTTCGCGCCGCCGCCCCGCCACCCCGCCGCCGCCCTCCGCCCGCCGCTTGCCGCCGCCCGCGGGGGCCCTTCCCGCCAGTGTTAAGTCGGGCCTGTCCAGCGGGCAAACGCAACTTACCTCGCTTTTGACCACCCTCGCTTCCAAAAGATACTAAGCGATGCCAAACTACGGCCTGCACTGGTCAGGCCGCTGGACGAGGAGGCGCGTGGTATGACTTGGTTTTGCCTGGAAGCGAAAGCGGGGTAGGTAACTCAGGCTCTGACTGTCTCTCGACAGGAGGACAATCCAAAAATAGTTTGAAAACAAATAGTTCGGGGACGACTTTTCATATTTTATCAAATTAGATTTGAATGTTTTTGGGGGTATTCTGCATTTTTCGTCCAATCTCCCCTGTAAGGGAACATGCCCGACCTAACGCCCGTGCCCGTTTGGAGCCGCTGCCCGCTGCTCCCCGCCACTGCCCGCTGCCCGCCGCCTCCCGCCACTGCCCCGCGAGGGGCCGGCGCTTTCCCCCGCTGCACGCGTGCAGCCACGAGCGTGTACTGGACGCGCGACCTGCCGTGAACCCGCATCACAGGGACGCCTGCCGGGCGTCTCCTCGCTGCAGGCGGCGCCGGCGCCCGCGAGGCCGCCGTGGCCGAGGCCGCCCCTGCGGCGAGGATTATGTCGGGCGTGTCCCCCTACACGGGGATTTTCCACGACAAATGCAAAAATACCCCAAACATACCCCCAAAAGTTCGACAAATATTCAAAAAATAGTCCTCAGACTATTTTTGGATTATTTTTTTAACTTTTTTTCGGGTATGTCTTATTTTTCGCCGAAGATCGCCCTGTAGGGGGACAGGCCCGACTCAACGCGAGGAGGAGCCGCGCCTCGCCAGGCCCGCGCAGCGCGCTCGGCAACCCACCTCCCCGCCAGGCGCGGGCGCCGCCTCGCTGCGGCGGCGGCTCGGCCGCGGCCTTCCCCCGAGATCCGACGAGCGCCTCTCGCCCGCCTCCGGCCGCGGGGCCCTCGCAGATCGATGCGGCTCGGGACATGGCGGCAGAAGGATGCCTGCGGGCGCCATCGCCGTTATCATATTGTTGTTAGTTCTCCTTCCCTCATGTGTCCTCTTCCTCTTCCTGGTTCTGGCCTCACTTTCCCCGCGAACCTTTCCCCGTCCTCCTCATATTTGTTTGCAGAGGTTCCTCCGAGGCGAGCTTCTGGAGGACCTCGCGAAAGCTTTTTTTGGAAGCTCCTTGAGCGCCTCTGGAAACGTCCCCGGCGCCTCTTGGCGGCCTCTGAAGGGTACCTCGGGACACCATGCCGCGAAGCGTGGTCTCGGGTCACGGCTCGAATTCTTCCAGAGGGCGTCGTGGGACAATTTTCTGGGCCGTCATGGGTCATGGGGCCTTCTGTTCTGAGACCTCTTGGGCCGTCTTGGGGCTCTCTTGGAGTGTCAAGAGGTCTTATTCGGTCGTCTTCGAGCGGTTTGCGGTGCGCCTGTTGGGTGTGCTCGGACGCCCGAAAGGCCGAATTACCGAGTAGCCCAAAATCATCAAACAGTCGACAGAGACTCAACATCTCTTGCTCTTTCAAAGCCTCCTGGGGGCCGTATTTGGGACGTCTTCGGGCGTCTGGCGGGGGGCCTCGGGCCGCTGAAGGCCATCTTGGACCGTCTTGGGTCGGGCGTTGGCAGAACTGGGTTTGCTGGAACCTGGTTTAGTGATTTGTGCTGGGGGCGCCCCCCCCGTCCCATTTCCGCTAACCGGAACTGCCGTCACCCGAAGAACACCAGCTGCGGCAAACCTGGTTTAGTGCAAACCTGGTTTAGCGAATCTGGCCAACTGAAGGGCCCCAGGGCCCTACCACTGACCGGGTCCCCTTACCTGGGGTCCTGGCTATACCCGATTGGGGGCCTCTTGTCGCCGCCCTTCCAGCCCGAGTGCACGGCTCGGCAAGGACCTCCGGAGGCCTGGAAAGCTTGCGCGACCCTCTGATAGGGTGGCGTTCGGGAGCCCCTGACGCCGGCGATCCCGTTTCGGGGGTGGGGAGGGGTCCGCCCCTCCAGGATCAGTGAAAATATATGCAAGGGAGGATGCATCGATATTTATATGTATGTATGTATGTATGTATGTATGTATGTATGTATGTATGTATGTATGTATGTATGTATGTTTGTATGTATGTACATATAAATATATAAAAACATGGAGATGTACCGATAGGACCACTCTACGGGTGATAAGGCGGTGGGGGGACGGAAAAGGGGAGGCAATCGCTTTGCGATGGCCCTGAGTTCCTTGGCGATTTCTTCAACTGTCCTTGTCGCGAACATCTTCCCGCCTATCTATCGATCGATCTATCTATATATAGATATGTATATATTAATGTGTCTATGTATCTATAAATCCATATATCTATCTATCGATCCATCTACCTAACTATCTCTCGATCTATCTATCTATCGATCTACCTATCTCTCGGGACAACCATCGGAACAACCATCGAGACAACCATCGGGACAACCATTGGGACAATCATCAGGACAACCATCGGGACAACCACCGGGACAACCATCGGGACAACCATCGGGACAACCATCGGGGCAACCATCGGGACAACCGTCGGGACACCCATCGGGACAACCATCGGGACAACCATCGGGACAACCATCGGGACAACCATCGGGACAACCATCAAAACAACCCGCAAGACAATCATCGGGACAACCATCTGGACAACCATCGGGACGACCATCGGGCCAAGCATCGGGCCAACCATCGGAACAACAATCGGGACAACCGTTGGAAAAAACCATCTGGACGACCGTCGGGACAACCATCGGGACAACCATCGCGACAACCATCGGGACAACCATCGGGACAACCATCGGAACAACTATCGGGCCAAGCATCGGGCCAACCATCGGAACAACAATCGGGACAACCAACGGGACAACCATCGGGACAACCATCGGGACAACCATTGGGACAATCATCGGGAACACTATCGGGACAACCATCGGGAACACTATCGGGAAAACCATCGGGACATCTTTCCAACCATCGGGACAACCATCGGGATAACCATCGGGAAAACCATCGGAACAACCCTCGGGACAACCATCGGGACAACCATCGGGCCAACCATCGTGACATACGTCGGGACAACCCTCGGGACAACGTCGGGACAACCATCGGGACAACATCGGGACAACAATCGGGACAACCATAAGGACAACTATCGGGACAACCATCGGGACAACCATCGGGACAACCATGGGGACAATCATCGGGACACCCATCGGGACAACCATCGGGACAACCATCAAAACAACCCGCAAGACAATCATCGGGACAACCATCTGGACAACCATCGGGACAACCATCGGGAACACTATCGGGACAACCATCGGGACATCCATCGGGACAACCATCGGGGCAACCATCGGGACAACCATCGGGAAACCATCGGCAGAACCATCGGAACATTCCTCGGAACAACCATCGAGACAACCATCGGGACACCCATCGGGACATCCATCGGGCCAACCATCGGGAAAACCATCAGGACAACCATCGGGACAACCATCGGGACAACCATCGGGACAACCATCGGGACAACCATCGGGACAACCATCGGGACAACCATCGGGGACAACCATCGGGTCAACCATCAACACATCCCGCAAGACAACCATCGGGTCCGCGCCCGGCGGGGGGTGGGGTCGGGGGGGGGGGGCGGGCGACCCTTTGGGCTCCATACGGCCTCTACAGCTGGAAGAACTCGCGCAACTTGGCCTCGCCCGCACGGACGACACGAACCGAAACCGAAGCCGATTTCCTGGTTGGAGCCACTTCCGTTCACACACCCCCAACCTGCGATATCTATATATATACACAGTTATATATATGGATATAGATATGCATATCTATGGAAACAAGCGGCACATGCGTATCCAGGCATATACAGAAAGCACCACAGCACGTTAGCATCACAAGAAATGAACACGACGAAGACTTTGAAGTTCGACCTGAGGGGGAAGAAGAAGGAGATAGAGAAGCATAGGAAAACGGAGAGCCGGAGGACAATGAGGATCACCAGGGGGCTGCTGGGAAGGAGGCGTACCAGCGGGATCGCAGTCGAACGCAGGTGGCGTTGCCACACCTTGCGATATGTGTGGCGCAGGAGGGAGTTGTACACCTTGCGATTTCAGTTGAACATGAGTTCCGAAACCAACGTTTGGAGAATGTCTCGAGCGAAGCTGTCGCTTTGAATATTAGGACAATTCTAAATACGTTGGGTTTCAATTGTGGGGGGAGATCTGAGGCAACACTGATGTGTCTCTAAAAGCTACGTCCATATTGATTGAAATTCTTTGTGCTTTCCGAAGTGTTACGTTGATTCATTGAAAGCCCATTGTGTTTTGGACTACGTCGTCGCCATCTGCGACAGGGGTGCATCCAATTTTCAAAATGCGGGGGATGCCCTGAGCGAAACGGCCAACACATCATGGACGGGACGGCTTCACTTAAGCGCATCTGAGCTCTACTCCCTCGGAGAGGTGCGTGTGTGTATATATGTGTGTCTATATATATATACACAGAACCAACGAACAAACAGCCCAAAACTACCCAACCACGTAAAAACAACGCCGCAAGACAACCACGCTCGCCATAACACTGCCAATAAGCCTCCAATGCAGCCAAAGACTGCCCACAAAGCCCCTGCAGACGCTCTAAGAAGCCCCAAGGTCGCCCCAAGATACCTTGAGAAGCTCTCAAAACGACCCCCGAAGACTGCTACAGGACGCTCGCGAAGCCACTGAGAGCAACACGCGCTGCTTTTCCGATGGATGCTGGCAGACTTCAACATACTGGCCTTTCTGGGTAGCGGAAGCCCAAGACGCTCCCACAGGTCCCCAAGAGGGCTCCAAGATAGCCCAACAGGATCTCAAGCGGGCCACACAACGGCCCAAGATGGCCTCAACAGGCCCAAGGGTGCCTCAAGACGGTCCAAGGTGCCCCCGAGGCGGCCCAATAGGCAGCCCACCAGGCGGCCCCAAGAAAGGACCCAGACAGGACACCGAGCTGGCCTTGACAGCCTTCACCTACAGGATTGCCTCACAGATCCACGCCATGCCCAACACACCTCCAAGGTCCCCCTACAGAGCACCAACGGCGTGCCAAAAGGAGCTCGAAGGTTCCTGAGAGGTCCTCAAGAGGCCTCAGAGAAGCTCCAACATGCGTCTGAACACTACCTCCTTCACGCTGTGCTGCTGCGCTCGGCGCCCTTCGCCGCAAGCAACTGGGTACTCAATCACGAATCGTAGTCACGCCATGCGCACACACGCAAGCATGCACTCATACCCGCCAGTCGGAAGACGCAGGTGGGTCCATGAAGTAGGAAGGCTCACCAAATAGATTGGGGTCGGGCCCGCTCGACGAATGACAACACACAGCAAACACGTGCCGATTCTTGGAGGAGGAAGGTGCTTGAAATGCATTGGGATCTGGACATCCGAAAGCACCTACTTTCAGCGACAGGCGTGCACGGAGATGAACGTCGTGCTCGCGCACGGGCGCCCGCGAGCGGCCAGGCGCCACCCCGCGCAGGCACGCGAGCCACTGTGCGGATCGGGCGCGCGGCGCAGCGCGCGGCAGCACAGACGAACAAGGCCACAGCTCGTGTGCTTCCAGGTTTGGCAAGACTGGAGCGCGGCATCGTGCGCGCATGCAGAGCCGTTGTCAGCATCGGAGATGGCGTTCTGCTGAGAGGGGCACAGAGGTTCGTGAAGTACGACGTCCAGATATTTGCGAGGAGCCAGCGTGGCATGGTGGTGCGGGCACCACGCTGCACTGCAAATGCGGATGCCGGACAACACGAGAGCACATCCTGATACAACAACATTAGAATATGCCCGAAGATCGAGCTTGTAAGCGACGGGAGAGAGGCACAGGAAGCTCGCAGACCTTCCCAGGGCTCTCCACCCTGCTGTGGGGAGGCCGCCTGCTTGCATGAAGAGCCCATTTGCCCCACCAGGGCATCCCAAGTGCTGGAACGCTGTCAGAAGACCGAGGAACCAACGAACAAGCCTAAGTCGATCCTTCCGAGTCTGGATAAGACAAACGCTGAGGACTAACGCCGAAGACACGGAATCAACAAGACATACCTTGGCCGAAAGATACCAAACACTCAGACCGCTGGCGAATCGAACAAATGGCTGAGGATTGTGTTGATATTTTCGGCGTCCCGGGTACCGTTCCGGCACCCTGAACCCAGAGAGGCCTGGATCTGGGTAATTGAATCAACAACCTTGGAGGAACGACCTCTGAGATCCGCAAGATATGCACTCACAATGCCGCCTGGGAATACATAGCTCAAATCGATCTGGCGAAGTAAGCACATGTATGGAACAACAGAGCGTAGTGCAAAATGGGAGTGACAGAATGCACTGCGCTGCGCTACGCATGTGCAGATAATGCGTGGCGCTTGCGAGGTCCTCTGGATTCTCCAGCCACTGATACAATCCAGAAGCGCCGAATATAATACAAATAATAATGAAGATGAGGTAGAATATCTCTGCGCTCAGGTCTGCTTTCGGAGCCCGCTGGAGGATGTTGAAGGCGCGCAGGATGCGAAGCAGCCTGGCCGCAACAACACAGATCAGTGGCAAAACAAGCCGTACTGGCTGCCTTGGGGCCTGGAGGACGAGTAGATCATTGATCCTCCGATTCTCTGGGATCCGAGCACAATAACAGCAAGTTCGAAGTTCAGGGTAGGGCCAAAGCAAAGGCTGATGGTATGGAGGCCAACACCTCGTTCCTCCAGACCGGCGGCGAATTCGCCGCTGCCACCAACACGGTGTGCAGCACACACCTTACTTTGATGCTGGCGTGTCCACTGCCACCCTCTCCACCGACGACGCTGCAGTTGTTTCGCGACGCCGGCCCCTGGGGATCACGACCACTTCCCCAAAGCTGTCTTTTCACCCCGGACCGTTCTTGGACGGTCCCTGGGCCGGGAAACGGCCTCCAGCGGCAGACAGCGACGAAACGCCGGCCGTCGCGATTTCTCCGCGACGCCCCAACCTGAGGGCACTTTTGAGCGCCCCGGTGCCCCGTCGAAAATACCAGTCTCTGTAGACGTATGGGGCCCTCTCCTTCAAGACTCCGCCGGCCGCTTGTCCATGACCTACTCATGTACCTCGAGCGCGATGCCATATTGAGCAGGGACCGACCGTCCAGGCATTCCGATAGTCCTACCACGAAATGTTAATATAACCCCAAAGTTGTTCTTAGACCAGAACATGTTCTCAAAATATAAACCCGATGTGATAAAAAACAAAACAGACTCCGCCAGAACTGTTCTAAGAAAATTTCGTGGAAACCGCAAAAGGTTCTTAGAACATTGTTTGGTAGGTCTATAGGCGAGCCAGGACGCTTCGCCACTGCTTGACCATAGCGACCTTACGCGGTGGCTCACGCGGGCCGCCAGCGCGGCACGCCAGATTGGAACTGAGGGCGCCTGCGCGCCATCTTGCGCGGGCAGCTCACGCGCGAATGCCCGCGCCGTCGGTCTTGTTAGGCCTCGGAAGAACCAGCGAGCACTCATGACGCATTCATCTGTCAATGCCGCCCCCCCCCCACCGATCAATGTTGGCGGTGGGCTGAATGAGCTGCACTCCGACCGCAGTCTTCCCCACGCGTGCCAGCGTTGAGCTTGGGGGAGCGGGGCAGTGTCCACTAATTGTTTCCTTCTACCCGCTGTCTTCCGTCGACCAACCAAATGAATTTCCACCACCTAGCGGCACGCCGACGGCAACATCTGGCGGCGCAAAGCCTGCGATCGCGCATCGCCGCCCGGCACCTCCGCCGCGGCGCCGGCTGCACCAGGCCATACTTCCGGCATGCCGTGCTCGCCCCGTCGAGGGCGAGGGCGCCCTTTCCTGAGCGCCCCCCCTTGTCGTCGACCTCCACCTTCTGAGCCTTCCGCGCAGACGTCGGAGTCCTGTTTTTTATTCTTTTCTGCGGGTGGGCTCGTCCTGTCTTGGGCCCCTGGAAGCCTCAGGAAGCTCTTGACTGCCTGCCAACACACCCCAACCATCCCGAAGTCACCGTTGGGCTCGCCGGTTTCCAGGGGGGGGGGCACTCCAGAACATCGAGGAAACGCGATGGAACCCGCACGCCCCCTAATTGCCCAAAGACTTGCGGTGGTCCAGGGCCTTCGGCATCGGTCGGTGGGGGGGGCCTGGTGAGCAGCGGGCTCCGGAGGCCCGAGGGCCTGCAGAGACTCGGGGAGGCACGCCGGGGGGGGGCGGCAGAACTCCGGGGGGCCTCCGGGGATCGACGCAAAAGGCGGGGGCGGGGGGTGGCCCGCATGTCCCTGGACGCGGGTGAGGAGTGAGGGTCGCCCCCCCCTGCCTAGATGCCTCCTAGATGGGGTCGGAAGATCGCGCCGCAGCAGCAATACATCGGCGATGCACCGGCGAAGTCGGCGACGCTTCCGCGACATCGGCGTGGGGAAAATCGGGCTGCGCATCGAGCCGCATTGCCGATGCATCGGCGATGCGGCGCGATCCTCCGACCCCATCTACCCTCCGACCCCATCTACCCTCCGACCCCATCTAGGAGGCCTAGACCTGCTCCATTCGGCAAGTTGACCCAGAGCAGAGCTGGTCGGGAAGCAGGGTCGAGGCACGCGCAGGCGAAGGGATCTGCGGGGCGCACGCTTGGGGTATGGGGCTATAGGCAGGGCTGAAGATGGAAGGCGACGAGCTTCTGGGGGGCACGGCGCAAGAGTTAGGTCGGGCCTGTCCCCGTACAGGGGTTTTTGGGCGAAGAACTAAAAGTACTCCAAACATACGCCCCAACTGCTCAACGTAAATCAAACAATCGTCCCCAGACTAATTTTTGACTATTTTGGAATATCCCCCCTGTAGAGGGACAAGCCCGACTTAAAACAAAAGCCGAACAGTGTGAGAACGCGTCTCAAGGCCTCAGGCGCTCCATGACAACAATCATGTGTTTTGAAACACTTCCTTGCACGCAGAGCACCGCGTGTAATAACCAGGGGAACAACAACACGGCATAAACATAGACTTTGGAGGTCCGCACGGATGTCTTGGATCGGCGCTGGACCTCCCTCCCCGGCGCGCGGAGTGCGCCAGGGGCGGCGCCGCCTGGGGGGCCCATCGCACACCCAACAACCTCGAAACTTCTTTATTTACACATCTATGTGTAGGTGTATCTACATATATATACACAGACATATGTATATATATATATATATATATGTATATCTATTCTGTATTTTCTAAACTTGTAAAGCATGTGTCGATTATTCGCGGTAGCGCGTCCACGCCCACGCCCTCCCGGGATAGCGCCACGCCTCGCGACGGCGCCGCCTGGGATTGGCCACTCCTGGGCGTCCCCAGGACGGCGCTGCCGCGACCCGCGACGTGCGCCGCCCTCCCCCCTCCTCCTCCTCCTCCTCCTCCTCCTCCTCCTCCTCCTCCTCCTCCTCCTGCTCCTCCTCAGCCTCCTCCTCCTCCTCCGCCTCCTCCCCCTCCTCGTCCTCCGTCTCCTCGTCGTCCTCCTCGTCGTCGTCCTCCTCGTCGTCGTCGTCCTCCTCCTCCTCCTCTTCCCCCTCCTCGTCCCCCTCCTCGTCGTCCTCCTCGTCGTCGTCCTCCTCGTCCTCCTCGTCCTCCTCCTCCTCTCTCATCCTCCTCCTCTCCTCCTCCCCCTCCTCCTCCCTCCTCCTCCTCCTCCTCCTCCTCTCCTCCTCCTCCTCCTCCTCCTCCTCCTCCTCCTCCTCCTATGGCCCGTATCGCCAGAGGTGAAGCATGTCTCTTCTCGTCTTCGAATATGGCAAGAGAGGAACAACAGCATACAACGAGACTTTTTTGGAGCTCCACGCGGATTTCTTGGATCGGCGCTAAGCCCCCCTCCCTGGCGCGCGGAGCGCGGCGCCGGAGGCGCCGCCAGGGGGGCACCGCGCCGGTCCAAGAGATGCGCGCGGAGCGTCGAAAGTCTGTGTTTATGCAGTTTGTTGTGCTTCTTTCTGTCTTTTTCGAGCAAAGCGTCGAGGGCTTCAGGGGCGCACCTTCTTGCCAGTGTGTGTATTCATGGGTGTACGTGTGTGTGTGTGTGTGCATGTGCGTTAAATGGTCCCTGAAGGCTCAGGCGGGCTTAGACGCGCGCGCGCGAGGCTTGATGCTGTTTTCCGACCTTCTGCGCCCTGTCGCTGCGCGCAAGGCCGCGACGCCCATACAACCTGTTCTCATCTTCGGATATAGCAGCAGGAAAAACGGAATAAACATAACTTTTTCGGACCGCCGGAGGTGCATGTTTACGCAATTTGTCTTCTTCTTATGTTTCTTCTGATTATTTGCATTCTTATTTCCATTATTATTATGCTTACTGCTCTTAGATTTAGATTGTTATTTCTGTTGTGCTACTCCTTATTATCATTATTTATCTTCTTCTTCGAGCACAGCGTCAAGGGCGTCAGTGGCACGTACATTAAATCAGGACGGGGTGGTTTTAGCAAACTTCGGCCTCGAGGGGCCCTCGCCGGGCCTAGGGAGCGTCAACAAAACGACTCGGGATGAAAAGCCGGTCCCCGGGAAAGGGTCGGGACTTCCAGGGACCCCGCACTGCAAAACTCAGGACGTGACATGTCTGGGCCCAGACCCCCTCGCGTCGTGACCAAAAAAATCAGGACGGGACACTCTCCACTGCTTTCGGCCTCTGGGGGCCCTTGCCTGGCCTCGGGGCCGTGAACAAAAAAACGACTCCGGATGGAAAACCGGTCCAGGGGTCCAGACCTCAGGGGGTGCGCTTGCTTAGCGGCGCGTGCGCGAGGGGGTAGGTGCAGGGGCGGGAGGCTTCTTGGGAGGCGGGTTCTTGGAAGGCGCCGGCCTCACATCTGCAGACGAGGCCCGCGCCTTACAAAATATAAGCAGGGGTGCTGCTGAGAAGCCTCCCCCCCGCTCTCTCCCTGCCCCGCCTCGCGCGCGTGGCCGAGGACCACTCGCCCTGGCATCCGGCGACCAGGCTATTCTGGTGCATATCTGCGCTCTGGGCGCGGGCCCTGGGCTCAGGTCGGGCGTGTCCCCCTACAGGCGGGCTTTGGACGACGAATAAAAAACGCACCACAAATGCTCAAACATATTCGACAACTGCTCGAAACGTCGTGCCGAGGCTATGTTTTGACTATCTTTGCATATTCCCCCTGTAGAGGGGCATGCCAGGCGTAACCCTGGGCAGACAGGATCACGACCAGCGTTTAGGTTTTAGGGTTTCAACCTAAGGTTTAGGGTTCAGGGTCTACTAGGCGTGGCCACGAGTACCCCGTGACCGCGAACCCACCTGCGGTGGCCGTCACTCCCACCCGCAAGCCACCCCACCATAAAGATCATCTCTCCCCTCGTTTGAACCACATCGAATACAGCGTCGACGACGACGACGACGACGGCGACGACTGGTGTGCGATCCAGTTGGCACGCGAGTGCTCGAACGGGCGGGAAGAGTGGGGTCGGGCGGAAGAGATTCTGCACGCATGCGCAGCGAAGGCTATTTTGTGGAACAGGTGGATCGGCTCGCAACGGAAGGCACTTTGTATGGTAAAATACAAGAGATTCTGCACGCATGCTCAGGAAATGCTAGTTTTTGCAATAGATGGGGCCGGTTCGCAACCCGGGTCGGGCACTTTGTGCTGTAAAATACAGGAGATTCTGCACGCATGCTCAGGAAATTCAATTTTTTGCAGTAGATGGAAGGGGGTCGCAACGGGGACCGGGCACTTTGTATAGTAAAATACAAGAGATTATGCACGCATGCTCAAGAAATGCTATTTTTTGCAGTAGATGGAGCCGGTTTGCATAACGGCCGGTTTTGTGGTACTTAGGGTTTGATAATTATAGGATTAGAAATTTAAGCCCTAAACCCTAAACCCAGAGCCGCGAGAAACTTCGCGCCCTCGTGGCTCGGAAGCTGGGCGAAGGCTGGCAAATCCGTGGCTGCTAAAACGTGCTTCCCGGAGAAAACAAAAACAAACTCCCGGAATAGAACTCAGCACGTTCAGTAGCAACCAGGCTGCTTCCCGGAAGGAAGAAACAATATCCTAGAACTCCGTTTTGGCAGCCACGGGTCTGCCAGCCTTCGCCTGGCTTCTGAGTGGCAGCTCTTGCTTCGTTTCTGACCTTACGGTCAAGCGCTGGCAGCCAAGCAGCTGCCAGGAGGGGGCGCAGAATGGCGACGAAGCCTCTTGGTGGCCGCACAGCGCCGGAATAGCAGACCGCCCCCGGAGCAGCGCGCCCCTCCCGAACCTCGGCCCTTCTTCCCTTCGGCGTCCCTGCTGCAAAAAACATCTCGACCCCAAAGCAGAGGAGCAGAGGCGGCCATTCCAGAGGCGGCCGGCGCTGAAAGCACCACGACGCACCCAGACATCCGCCGATCCGTTTTTTGTCAATCCGCGGCCCCCGAGTTTTTGTTTCCTTCCCGACGGCCAGTGTTTCGCCCCTCTGATGGCCCCGGGGCTTCCGGAGGGCGAAGTCGAGGAAAAGCGCCCGGAGTGAACGAAATCATCTCGCCGGAGGTCCAGGGAACACTCCCTTGTGAGCTTTCTGTTGGGATCGGCGCGGGCGTTGCCGAGGGGAAAGGGGGCTGTCAGGGGACGCCAAAGTGGGTTCGATCTGACCCAACCTGGCGTCTAACTGGGTTACACATGCCCCAGATGGCTGAGGGGGATCAACTGTCAGGGTATAGTTGTTTCCTCCCACTTAGCAGAGTTATCCAACCACCCTAAACAACTCGTGGCATTTGTAACCCACTAATAAGCCAGTAAGGCCAGATGTAACCCACCACCCCCTAGTCATCCGTAAGGTGGAGGTCTAGGGAATGTCCTGTCGCACGAGCCCCGTCTCTTTTCGTCTCTCACTTGGCCCCTGGATCATGATCTCTTCAAGCTGGGAATTGTTCCTCGGTTTCGGCCTCTGGGCCCGCTCCTGGTCAGCCAAGGATCCGGGGCGCACCACTGCCCCAGGAGAGACTCTTGGGACCTCCCGAACGACGCGAAAGCACTGCGACATCGTGAAACATCACGACCAGAGCCCCGAACCCCATCACTCGACCCCATTTTTCGAGCCGCATCGATCTGTGCGGGTCCCGGGGCTGGGAATCGGGCGACAACGCCCGCGATGCATCTCTGAGCTCTGGGGCCGCGCCGATGCCAGCGGGCGCGCCATGGTCTAGCAGGCCTCTCCCCCGAGCCCGAGCCGCACCCCCCGCGGCCTGAGCAGCCGCAGCAGGCGGAAGTACGTGAGCTTGCCCCCGCTGCTCTCGTCCACGACGGCGCTGTTCAGCAGCACTTCCCTGCCCCTCCCCTGCCTGCGAGGCTGATGCTTGGCGGCGCGCACAGGGGGGGGCAGGCTTCTTAGAAGGAGCCTGCTCCTTAGGAGGCGCGGGCCTGACATCTACAGAGAAGGCCCGTGCCTTCTAAGAAGCAGGGGTGCTGTTAGGAAGCCTTCCCCCCTCCCCCTACCCCCTTCTTCTGCGCGTGGCTGAGCTGCGGGCAATGCGGTGGCCAGCCGGCTGGCCAGGCCAGAACTAGGGGCACACATGTGCGACCAAGGGGAAAGGAGGGCGACCGCGGAGAACGAACGCCGGGGGAGGGCTCAGGCGTCAATAATTTTCGCCACGTAAGAGAAGAAACTTTGCTCTGAATCTTTGCTCGCCTTCGTGAAGGGTCACTTGGGGCCTTGAAGTGCCTCATTGGGATCGGCGCGGGGGTTGCCAAGGGGACAGAGGGGGTTATCAGTCGATGCCAGGTTGGGTATATCTAGCAAAAACCACTGACAACTAGGCTACATGGGGTTATAGAACTCCGCCAAATTGGCGGAACCGGCTTGGCCCAGGTCGTTCCCCCCCAAACCCTCGGTGCATGTGCGTTCATCTGTATCCCGCTACAGACTGGTTGCGCCAGATATGACCCAACTTGGCATCCATTGGTCATCCCCGAAGCATCCCCTCAGCACCCCCCGCGCCGATCCCTGTAGACACACTTTTTTGCGTCGGCGGCTGGGCAGTGGGTGACTGCTCCGGCGATCTGGCAACAGGGGGCGCCCTGCATGCAAATTAATGCTCCGGCGATGCACGGGGACAGGGGAAGCCTGCCCCGCTCAGGCAAGTCACTGGCTGCGGCAGGGAAGCGCCGTGGGGGGGGGACCAGCAGCGGCGCCGAGCAGCAGCTGGGGGGGGTACGGCAGCCCAGCAAGACTGGGCGGCCACAGGGGTCGTGGAGCACCCTCGTCGTCGATCTCTGAGGGCCCCAGGGCTACCCCTGGGTCTCCGTGGGTCCCTGGGGGCTTCGGGGGAGGGAACACCTCCCTGGGGCTGGCAGAGGACGAGGAGGAGGGGAGGATGAGGAGGAGGAGGAAAAGGAGGGGGAGGAGGAGGGGGAGGAGGAGGAGGAGCAGGAGGAGGAGGAGGAGGAGGAGGAGGAGGAGGGGGAGGAGGAGAGGAGGAGGAGGAGGAGGAGGAGGAGGAGGAGGAGGAGGAGGAGGAGGAGGAGGAGGAGGCCGATTCCATGTTTGGCGTGCTCGCTGTAAAGGGTGGCGCCGACACGCTGAGGGCGTGCGGAAGGGGCATATCGAGAGCACGGCGGTGGAGAGGAACGTGCGGGAGCTGCCAGTCGCGTGAGACATCACATGGCGGATTTCGGAAGCCCTGTGCCCCAAAACGTTTTCATCTTTTTGGGACGCAATTTTTACTTCCGCCGCCTTCCGCCGAGCTTCCGCCGGCGGAGGCGGCCTCGTTTTACGTCCGCCGACCTTCCGCCGCAATTTCCGCCGCCTTTCGCGGCGGAAGAGAGGACAACTCTTTATATCCCTGAAGGCAAGGCCTTCTCTGGAACGCCTCACAGATGCCATCCCTCGGTTGAGGATGGGATGGTACAGCTGTCGTCCTACGACTGGCGTCCGGTCGCATTCGCAACCCATGCATCTCCAGGCCCTGGTGCCTACCGGCCTCGCCACCCGCCAGCCAATCTCGCCATCGACCTGCTACTGATCTCGTGGCCTGTCGCCCCCGCTACCCATCCGCCGATGTCACTAGAAACGTTGCCCAGCCCCCTTGGGATCTCCAGCGCCCATTGCATCAACATTGGAGAAAGGCACACCTTCCACAACTGCCGAGAAGATCGAAGCGCCCGGGCGCCACTCGGACTCCAGAAGCGAACGCATATCATCTCGCACAGAGATTATGACCTGGCAGGTGCGAGAAAGGCTGAAACCACGGAAATGAGGGAGGGAATACTAGAACGGATACATGCGCCAACGAGGAAGCAGGTGCGGCGAAACTTCAGAGCAAAAACCACGTCCCTTCGGTTTATGAAGAACCGGCCAGAGAATTCACCCAGCCCCCTCGGATCGCCAGCGGTCGTTTTACCTAGGCCAGAGCAAGACAAATATTCTACAGCTGCTAAGAACATCGAAGCGCTCAGCCAGACCCGAGCGGAAACAAGGGGGCCCAGGGTCCGAACACTTCAGAACAGAAATCACCAACGCTCACAACCTTGCCGATTCTGACGCATCATGAGTTTGAACCGATTCCAGAGGGGAGACCCTCGCACATGGCCAGCAGCATCGATCATAGTCGAGGCGATAGCGCGGCGACGTCCAAGGGGACAGGCAACAGTTATTGTCGTCCAGTGGTGCCCTCTGGGCGCGTGGCCGCAGAGCTCTTGATGAGGGCGATCCGTGCGAAAGAAGAGACGGCGTTGGGCATGACGCCAGTGATTTAAAGACGCCGCCACCCCATTCCACGACTCGAAAACACCTTCTTCCAAGGCGTGCCATGCTGGCATTGGTGCAAACGGGCTCCAGAACCACCTGCACCCCGCCGCAATCGCTGAATCAGATTTGGCCTACCACATCAGGGAACCCTCAGGGTTCTCAGCGCATGTGGACACTCCAGCGCTTCTGCAACATTCGACACGACGGTCGCAATGTAGACTGAAGGTCGCATGTCCTACGTTCAGCCAGGCCTGCTGGGCATCTGCGATGGGTTCTGCTGAAGAGGCCCAGGCGAGCGAGCGTCGAAGGGACCCCCCCAAAGTGAAAAGCCGGGAGTGGCACGGCGCTCGCACGGCCGCAGCCCCGCCGCGGCAATTCAGGCGATCGCAACGGCTGTTTCGGGGACCGCGACCGAGTCGCGCAGGGGGATCCAAGCCAGGGGAGCCTATAGAATTGCGCGCCTGACCCGATCCAACCTTGCAAATAAGCCTCCCGACCGCTCATTTGGCAGGAGGCCCCCGTGGGCACCCACCCTGATGTCTGGCGAGGCTGTGGCAGATCACATGCCAGTTGGCGGACTGGGGACGACGATGGGGGCGAATAGCCTTATGTTGCTCCCATCGTACTTAACGACCACATGCCAGAAATAATTTCGAACACACGGAAAAGTGTCGAACAAGTGTCGAAACAGTGTCGAAGCAGTGTCGAACGAGTCTCCCCACTTAAGTTTCGGTGCTTTCGTGGTGCTCGAAATTCTTCCCGGTGATCAATGCTAAAGTAGGTTGGCACACCAGAAGAATAGCCCATGGGAGAGCAATACATGCATCCAGGGGCGCCGATGACACATGCCTTCCGCGAGGCTCCCCTGGCGAGTGCACGAAAATCACTGCCCGCCCCTGGGCCCTGCGCTCCTCTCGCCGCCTCCGAGCGGAGCTGTGGCCCCCGCCGCCGCCGCAGCCGGCGAAGAGAGCTCGACGGCGCGAGGCGCCCTCGGCCGAGCCCGCCCGAGAGGCCGGCAAGCCGAGGGCCGAGGGGGCCGCCGAGGACGCCCGAGAGAGCGTCTGGCCGCGAGCCTCGAGAGCTTGGGCGTGGCTTAATGGGGGGGTCACAAATGGGGGGGTCAGAAAAGGTCCCCTTTCGTGCCCCTTTGGGGCCCCTCCAGAGCCCCAGGGGCTCGTTTAGGTACCATTTGGGTACCTTTTCGGACCACGCTCGCCGCCCCCCCATTTATGATCCCCCATTACGCAGCCCCCAAAGAGCCCGTCGCCCCCTCCTGCCGGGGGCGCGCAGGCATGTGCTCGCGGTCCACGGACGAGGCGCGCGGGCGCCGAGTCCGAGGATCGGGGGAGGTGCCCTCGCCCAAGTGCGGCCCCGGTGCCGCCTCGCTCGGCGGCGGAAGCACGCGATTTCCCATGGAAGCGGGGCCCGTCGCCAATCCACGCCCCCTGACTCCGTGTATTTGCGATCGCCTGATCCTGAGCCCATCCAGCCGTGGCGCTGCCCTCAGGTCGGGTCCGTCCTCCTACAGGCGGATCTTGGACGAACAATAAGACAGACCCTCCCAAACATACTCAAACACAATCGTTTATATATATATATAGAAAGATTGTATATACTTCTCGATTTGTGCGTGTCATCCTTGCGCAGGGGCCATGCTAATCTTCTCCGCGTCGCTCCAATCTTCACGGGCGATCCCCGAAGGGAAACAAAACACAGAATCAACAAATGGTCGAGAGGAACCGTCCCCAGGCTACAGGCGGATCTTGGACGAACAATGAAACAGACCCTCCCAAACATACTCAAACGTGACCCAAAAATGGTCTACAGAGGAATCGCCCCCAGGCTGTTCTTCTGCACTCGCGTTGGAACGCTCCTCCTGTGTTGGGACGGGCCCGGCCTGAGGCGCCGCCCCTGCCCCTTGAGCGGGGACCGACCGTCCCGGCACTCCTATAGTCATACCACGAGATGTTCTCAGAACCCCCAAAAATGTTCTAAGAACAAAAACAATGTCCTCAGAACATAAGCCCATGTGATGAAACAAGACAGACTCCGCCAGAAATGTTCGTAGAACCCAAACATGTTCCAATAACGAAAAACAATGTCCTTAGAACAAAAAACCCGAGGTGATGAAACAGGACAGGCTCCGCCAGACATGCTCTGAGGCTATGGGCGAGCCAGGACGCTCCGCCGCTGCTCGAGGCCGCCGCCGCCGCGGCCGACGCGCCCGCGGCCGACGCGCCGCGGCCCACACGCGGCGGGGCTGACCTCGACGGGGCCCCCCCCGCCCAGGGCGGCCCGAGCCCCCTGAGGTCCGACGGGCAGCAGGCTCGCGTCGTGCCGACCTCGGCGTTGGCTTCTGACACCGCGGGGGGGGGGAGGAGGAGGGGGAGGGGGAGGGGGAGGGGGAGGGGGAGGGGGAGGAGGAGAGGAGGAGGAGGAGGAGGAGGAGGAGGAGGAGGAGGAGGAGGAGGTGGAGGAGGAGGAGGGGAGGAGGAGGAGGAGGAGGAGGAGGAGGAGGAAGAGCGAGGAGCGAGGAGGAGGGGGGGGGGGGGGGAAGACGGAGGGGCCGTGGGAGGGAACCACACTCAGGCCGTGCGTGGCGTAGCACAGGGCGACGCCGCAACAGCGTACGGCAGGTTCGCGTCGTGCCGACTTCGTTGGTTTCCGACACCGCGAGGTTCAACCTTGAACGATCGGCCGTTTCCGAAACGTCCAAACCGTTCCACACCGAACGATTCTGGGTCGCCCGCGGCGTTCCGCGTTGAACGCCGCTGGCGGGGCCGCCGCAGGTCGACACGACATGAACCTGCCGTGGCGAAGAATTGGCAGAATCGTCGAAGATCAGGCCAATAGCCCTCGACCCTGTCTGTCTGGTCACTTTTCGAGCCGGCTAGATCTGCGAGGGCCCCGGCTCCCTGTCGGCTCTTGCGAATCGACGCTAATCGACGCTAAATCGACGCTGATAGACGCTACATCGAGGCTAATGGACGCTAGCCGGCGCCAAATCGACGCTACCTCATCGACCCCAGACCCTAACCGACGCCAGTCGACGCGAAAGACAAAATTGCGAGGGTACACGAGGCTCCCCTTAGGTCGGGCATGTCCTCCTACAGGCGGATTTTGAATGAAAAACACAGCTCATCAAAAATATCAAACAATATTTCAAAATTGCCCCAAAAATCGTCCCAAGACTATTTCTTGCCTATTTTTGAATATTCCTCCTGTATAGAGGGACAAGCCCGACTTAATTTGCTACCGGACAGGCCCCGGGGCCCCGAAGAAAGGCGAAAACCCCCGGCTCGAAGGGAGGGCGGCCCCCGCCGCGAGAGGGCCGACAGGCTCACGTCGGGCGTGCCCCCAGAGAAGGCGGAAGTGTGGGCGAAGAATGAAAAATACAAAAAACATGCCCCGAACATGCCCCAAAATACCAACAACATCGTCCCCAGACTATTCTTTGACTATTTGCTGCGTATCTCTGAATATTTCTGTTGACTCTTTCTGCATCTTTTCTGAGTCTTTCTGCGTATGTCTGCAATTTTTTCTGAGTATTTTGTCTATTTTTGATTATTTTTGGACTCTTTCTTAGGGGGAAAACAAACCTACCTCGCTTTTGACCACCCTCGCTTCCAAGAGATACCAAGCGATGCCAAACTACGGCCTGTACTGGTCAGGCCGCTTGACGAGGAGGCGCGTGGTATGACTTGGTTTTGCTTGGAAGCGAAAGCGGGGTAGGCAATTCACACTCTGATTTCTGAATACTCCTCCTGTGGAGGGACAGGCCCGACTTCACACGAGCGGCGGCCCGCCCAGGGCCGGGCGAGGCCTGCCCGCGCCGGCCGCGCCGCGGCCGCGCCCCCCCTTTGGGTCACGTCCGCGGGGCGGCGGCCGCACAGCGCCCGCAGCGGCAGCCGAGGCCGCAGACCTGCGAGGGGGGCCCCGAGAGGCACAGATCACACAGGATCCCCAAAAATACTTTCCCGCATCTTCTGGGCTCTTGTCTCTCCCCCCCCCACTTCTTCCCACATCTTCTTGGGAGCTCGGCGATTCATTGCGTCTGTGTGTGTGTGTAATTTTTTTCCCCTTCTGAGGACCGCCCCTCGTCACTTCAGCGGGGCGGCGGCCGCACAGCGCCCGCAGCGGCAGTCGAAGCCGTAGACCTGGAAGGGGGCCCCGAGAGGCACAGATCACAGGATTCAGCATCTTTTCCCATATGTTCTGGGTTTTTGTCTCCCCCCCACTTCACATATCTTCTGGGAACGCGGCGATTCATTGTGTCTGTGTGTGTGTGTGGGTGTTTTTTCCCTTCTGAGGGGGCCCCGATATGCACAGATCACAGGATTCCCGACATTTTCAAATGTTTTCTGGGTTCTTGTCTCCCCCACTTCCCCTATCTTCCGGGAGCTCGACGATTCATGGTGTCCGTGTGTGTTATTTCTTCCCCTCCTGGAGACCGCCCGGAGCTTCTTCTGCCGCGCCGCCTCTTTGGGTGGCCCAAGAGGGGGTCCAGCTGAAAGGGGGTGGGGCAGTACAGGCGGACTCGATTGGAGAGGACACGCGAGAGGACACGAGACCCTTCCGAGGGCCACATTGCCACAGGAACGTAGGAAGCATGGGTCGCGAGACACAGAACACCAGGGTACCCTTGATGTGGCAGGGTCGACCTACTAAGCTGGGCCGACTGTAGACTTGGGGGCACCTGTGCTGCAAATGTACCGGGACAGAGAACTGGATATTGCATTGAATTGCAAGTGGTGCGTCGCAGGCAAATTTGCAGCAGTACATCTGCGCGCCGAAGTGTACTGCACGCCCCAAACGTACTGCAACCCCGCAGATCTATGGCGCCACGTCTACTGCACCACCCCCTTGCCGCTGGTCCCCCTTTTGGGTCAACCCGAGCCTTGGGCAGGTTGCGGTCGACGTCTCGGAGGAAGGCCGGTCGAGACAGCCCTGAGATCCTGGTGCTGCGGTCTCTTCCCCGCGGGCGTTTGCGCTCGGCGTCGGGCCTCGGGACCCTGACAGGCCGATCTGGCTCGGAAACTGGCGCAGAACGACGGTGTCCGGGGCTTTGGCCGTGTTTTTTTCATGATGTTGCAAGTGTTCGCTACGTTGGATACAGGGGGGGGGGCTTCTGACAAGGCGGCGGGCCTTCGGAGCAGGCAGAAATGGTCTCTTAGAAGCCCGCCCAGCTTCTAGGAAGCCTTCCTGGAAGCCCCCCTTCCACATGAAGGCCCCCGTCTTCTAAGAAGCGCCTCGTATTTTTCGATGCTGCATGTTCTGGCCAGCGTTAGGCCTTCGAGTAGGAGATCGATTGCAACATTGTACCCAGAACTGTTTTTGCTCATCGGATCTACGAACAAACACATATCATCTTCGTCGATCTACGAACGCCATACGTGCCGAGACATCCGGCAACTCCGATTTCTTCGATGCGTGAGCCCTGGAGGTCTGGACCACCTCCCGCTTTTCCTCCCGAGTCGGTTTCTGACGGTCCCGAGGCCAAGCGAGGACTCCCCGGGGTCGAGCACTGCCCGAACTGGCCGCTCCAAAGTTCTTGAAGCGTCTGAGTCTCGTTTATCCGATCCCCATCCCCAGCGGCGTGGGCTGGGCCCCACTGGCCGATTTGCCCCCCTAGATGGGGATATAGGCTGTTCCCTTCGGGTCTCGAGCGGTGTATCCCCAACTGGGGGGGGGGTCATTTTTGGTGGGGGTCTCGAAGGGGATGGGGATGGGGATGGAGGTCGGTTAAACGACACTGAGCGTCGGATCCCTCCACGTCGTTCATTTCTAATCGTGCTCACTTCTAATTGTGCTCGTTCTGATTGTTCCTGGACCTCTAGGGGCCAGGAAAAGGCCCAGGATAGAACACTCAGAAATGAAAAGATCTGGGCCCCCAAGAGAAATCAAAGAATATTCGAAGAATCAGAAGTGAACCATGTGTCGGCATTTTCCACAGGTTCGACGAACAGAGCTCAAGTCTGGGGCGCGTCCACGCTGCCGCGGAGCTCCCTTAGGCCTCGGGGGCCCTGGGCGGCCCTCTCTCCCCGGCGCGCGCCGCGTCGTCTCCCGGGCCCTCCCCCCTTTGGGGAGGCCGCTCTGGCGCCGCCCCTGGGACCGCCTTCCTCCTCCTCCTCCTCCTGCTCCTCCTCCTCCTCCTCCTCCTCCTCCTCCTCATGTTCCTCCTCCTCATGTTCCTCCCTCCTCCTCCTCCTCCTCCTCCTCCTCCTCCAGCTTCTTCTCCTCCTCGTCCTCGTCCTCCTCCTCCTCCTCCTCCTGCAGGAGGGAGGGGCCCCTGGGGCGGAGGAGACGGGGGGGGACTGGGGCGTTTTTGCGGGCCCTGGAAACAACAGGGTACAGTCGGCCTTGATTGGACAGGACGCGCGAGAGGACGCAGGACGACCTTCCCGAGGGCCACATTGCCATGGGGGATGTAGGAGGCATGGGTCGCGGGGCACAGGACACAAGGGTACCTAAGGGTACCCTTGATCTGGCAGGGTCGACCTCCTAATCAGGGCCGACTGTACGGCAGGGGCGTGCTGCATCTCTGCTGGTCCGCGCGAGCACGGGCTTCCCTGAGGAGGAGGAGGAGGAGGAGGAGGAGGAGGAGGAGGAGGAGAGGAGGAGGAGGAGGAGAGGAGAGAGGAGGAGGAGGAGGAGGAGGAGGAGGAGAGGGCAAGATGAGTAGGGGAGGAGGAGAGGAGGGAGGAGGAGAGGAGGAGGAGAGGAGGAGGAGGAGGAGGAGGGAGGAGGAGGAGCTGCATAGGCAGATTCTGGGGAGCAGCAGGGCCAGCAGCACGACTGCCGCCACCTCTGCGGTGCGAGGCGCTGCCGCCAGAACGCTCAGATGAGGGAACCCCTCGATAAGGCACCCGGGGTCTGGAAGCTGGTGCAACGCCCAAGGAGGCTCGGCCATGGGTGTCCCCGCCGCTCCCATGAGATCAGGAATGCTCGAGGGTCTGCAGCCTCCTGGGCGCACTCCTTCACCAACGCCCCCGCCGTAGTTTCGGGCGCGGCCTAACCGGCCCACTCCGTGACGAGCATCTTACGTGACGTGCCCCGCGCCCTCCAGGCCTCCCTCCGGCGGCATTCCCAAGTCTTGGGATGAGGCAGGGGGAACGTCAAGGAAGGGGATGGTTTGCTATGGGTCGGTTAGGCCGCCCCTGACGACAGGGTAGCTGTTCTTCCCAGCCTAAATGTTTCGTTATTTCGTGCCGCTGACAGCGCAGTCTTTTGACGGTTTTGGCCCCGTTGGATTAGCGTTTTCGTTTCCCCTGGTGGGGGCCTGGTCCAAATCACAATATTTGTGCTGCATTCGGATCGTTTTCGAACCCGTTCCGACCGACGTTCGGATCCCTGGACTGCACAGGCCGTTTCGGTGAACGCGCTTTTGGCCGTTTCGGTGACACGTTTTGTGTTGCCTTGTCGAAAACGGTTTTGAAAACGGCCCTGCCGTTTCCCACGAAGGTCTGGGGCCGACTTTGAGCGGATTTTCGCGGGATGCTACAGTGCGGACGCGGCCGCAAGAAACCCTCGCAAGAAACCCGGCCCTGAAGACCCGCGCGAGGGGTGCGACTGGGGGGGAGCCCAGGGTACCCTGAACGCAGCAGCTTCTTAAACGGCCGCGGGAAGTCACCGCGCAGCGCGAAGAGCGATGCCACCCAAGGTACCCTGATGAAAAGCAGAAGGTTTCCTGATGCGCCCCCCCTGTATCTTTAAGTCGGGCTTGTCCCTCTACAGGGTGGATGCTCCCAAACAGCAAAAAAAAATCAGGGGACGATTCTTTGACTATTTTTTGACCACTTGGGGGTACTTGATGAGTATTTTGATCGCCCAAGATCCCCCTGTAGGGGGGACAGGCCCGACCTCACTGTATCCCAGGGTGCCCCCAGCTCTTCGCTCCCTTTTGGAGCCCCTGGGGGCCCTCTGGGCCGCACGGTGCCTCAAGTGTGCCCCGCACGGTGCCCCAGCACCCGATCCCTGACCACACGCGCCGTGCCTCGCGATGGCCCTCCTGGCTTTCCCTCACCAACCTTAGGTCGGGCCTGTCTCCCTACAGGCGGAGTTTGGACGAAACGCAAAACATACCCCCCATAAGACCCTAACATCATCGAAGAATAACCCTCAAATCGTGCCCAGACTGTTTTTTGTAACAACTATTTTGGAGCAGTCCTCCTGTGGAGGGGCACGCTCGACTCAACACCGAACCCCCGTGGGCCCCTCCCCGTGCTGGTCCGATGCCTCCCTGGCACCCTCCTCTTGCTCGCCCAGTGCCCCCCGAGAGCCCTCCCCTTTCAGGCCGCGAGAGAGAGGCCCGCCGCCCCGAGCTCTCCACCGGCCCCCCTCCGCGCGCGCGAGGCGGGGATCGGCCCGGATCCGCCGCCGGGGGAACAGACGCCGTGGCGGCCCAGCGGGCGGCGGACATGGGCACGTGCTGCCAGCCTCGAACGCAGCCCTGTCCCCAAGATGGACACGCCAAGAAGCGATGACAGTCTTAGGGATGCGCCCTCGAAAAATATGAGGGAATCCCTAAGATTGGCATCGTGATGAGGAGATGCCCAGCATAGGGATAAGGATATGTTCCGGGCTGGTAAACATGCCTGCCCCCCAGGGGCCCCAAGGTATCCATATCCGCGGCCTGCCGATGTCCCCGAAGCTGGATCCTCCGGGCGGTGGTCATGTGCGAATTCCCGCCTCGGCGGATGTAGCTGTGCACCACCTCCTCCCCGGGCGCGATGGGCCGCAGCGCCCGGAGCGTGGCGCGGGCGCCGCCGGCGTCGCAGGCGAAGACCACCTCTCACAGCTCCGGGAAGCAACTAGCCCCACAAGGTGTCAAGACCCCCCCCCAGTGATAATAGGAACAGTCGACCCTAGGACAGGAGAATATCCTCCAAGAAAATGAGACCCTCCGCCGGCCCTAACACACAGAACATCCAGGATGTGCAAGAACATCCAACAAACACAAGGAACATTAGGGCACCCTCCCCGAACCGACCTCGATCTTATACCTCGGTCCGACTGTACATGGTCATTTTGTGTTCGGGCTTAGGGACGGATTGGGACCCCAACCGTACGGGGAAACCGATTACTCCCTCACGGCGGCCACCGCTGACGATCGGGGGGGATGGGGATCCCTGATGGTGATGATGATGAGGGGAAGGGCGAGGAGGGAAACCACGAATTAATTGCTAGACGAGACCTCAGGGGGGGGGTCCCAGGCAGCATTATCGACCACCCACCCCTTTGAGTGAAACTATGTCACTTCTCGCCCCTGGAAGTGAGATCCCGCCTCTGGGCCCATCAATGCCGAATCCCACCGAGGTCCTGATAAGATTCCAACAGGACCCTGACCGTGTTCCAACGAGAGCCCAATAGGGTTGCAACATAAGTCAATAAGATCCCACTCGGATTCAGATAAGGTTCTTGCCTCGTTTAGAGGAGCAACATAACCACATAAGCACAACCTTTTGGAACTCCGCGCGGATTTGTCGGATCTGCGCTGGCCCCCCCCCCTCTCTCCTGGCGCGCGGAGCGCGCCAGTGGTGGCGCCAGATGCGCCGCCAGGGGGGCCCAGGCACCGATCCACGAAATCCGCGCGGAGCTCCGACTACCTATGCGAATGTACAGTCGACCCATATCAGAGGGATGCGCGGTAAGGCTGCAAGGGCCTTGGAGGGCCACGTTAGCGTTTGGCGAATGAGGTTGGCCAGCGAGAGTCGCTAAGGATGGGCCGAAGGGGCAAAGATGCAAGGGTGCCCTTGGGATCCGTACTAGATGGGTTGACTATAGGACCGATGCCGGTACTCCCCAGACCTCTACTGGAGCGCTCTCTGACCAGAACCTCTGGTAGAACCCAACCGTGGCGCTCTTCGGTACCTTCCCCCAAAATGCGATATCTTGATCTGTTCCGTGGTCGGTTCCCGGAAGTCCCGACCCCTTCCCGGGGAGAGGCTGCTCCTCCCGAGTCGAGGAGGAGCAGGGAGGATGAGGAGGAGGAGGAGGAGGAGGAGGAGGAGGAGGAGGAGGATGGTCCTGGAGGCTGTCGAGTCCCCCTGGAGGCCGACAGTGGTCAGACCTCCCGTCGTGATTGTTTCACGGCGCCAGCGGGTCTGGAAAATACCGATACCGTATCCGCTCCTCCCCAAAACTCTCCCCGGGCGCGTTCTGACCAGAACCTCGATGCGAACCCAGCCGTGGCGACGAGGGAGGGCCTCCCAGGAGGTCCAAGGCGAAGGTGAGGGAAGGTACACGTTGATTCCCCTAACGGCGCTTGTATTTCGGCTTTCTTACTTCTTCTCTGAGGAACTGGGCCTGACGGGCAGTGTGGCGGCTATGTGTCGCCGCCGTCGTCGCACCGTCGCCGCCCGTCGTCTGGGCAAGACGGCCGGTCGGGCGGCGATGTCGCCACCGTCGCCGCACCGTCGCCGCCTCGTCGCCGCCCGTCGCCTGGTCTTGGGGGTCGGTCTGGTCTGGCGGCTATGTCGTCGCCGTCGCCGCCCCGTCGCCGCCTCGTCGCCGCCACATACACTTCATCACAAACATTGCTCCACATAGATTTCGCAACATGTATTGCGCACCATATAATTTCTC